AACCTTTTCTTCACTCATTCCTTTTAGTTATGCCTAAAATCCCAGCTCTCATCCTGAAGAAATTTTATCCTGTGTAAATACTGTAATATATCTCCAAGTTGCCAGCTAATCAAAATGATGCTCAGACTGTTTTTTGTTTTTTTTTTTTTTTTTTGGTTTTTGATTTTTTTCCAGTACCGGGAATTGAACTCACGATCTTGCGCTTACCAGGCAGGCACTGTGCTGCTGAGCTAAATCCCCAGCCCCTGGTCTTTACAAATATAATACATATTGTTGTTCATGTACAAAAGCTTAAGAGTTTTTCATTGGTCAAAATAATGTGTTAATCTGGTTTTCATACATCAAAAATTTAGAGAAAATTATAACCAAAGCTAGAGGAACTTATGACAAAATGTTAGACTCCATCAGTAAAGGTGTCTAAGAGCCAGTGGGTTACAATTGCTATTCCTTAAAAATAGTTTCTAAACTTACCTGTCATCTTGAGTTGAGTGCTCATGATTTGATTATACATGCTCTAATTTCTTGAAAAATTTGTTCTTGCCCAAAAGTCTACCTGGTGTGATGCTTCAATCAACGCAGGAAAAGCAGCTTTCCCGTTTCAGGGAAGCATGTTTTTGCTTTCTCACATGGCCTAAGGTAGAAGTCTATCCGCAAATAAAGTCCACATGCCTTTTAACATCATGCCTGTCTCTTGTTTTTTATTTACCTGACTAAAGGCATGTGTTCTAAGGAGTTGTGATTTTGTGCAAGATGTCGTATTGGAATCAGAATGAGTGAGGGAGGAGTCAGGAAGTAAGGACAGCAGCCCTAGAATGGAGCGAGGCTCCTGCTGAGTCACAACCCTCTAGAGATCTTCCAAAATATCTGCCATGTGTGCCCTGGCTGCCTGGGACCTTGGCAGAGCATGACCAGGCAGGCCATGGCTCAAGGGCACATGGGCCCTACATAGGCACCACATGGCCACTGCATAGAATGGACCCTTAAAAATGTGTCATCTCCTGGAGGGTAGGGATCGCAATGGCCTGGCTCCTTTCCACGTCCTTTAACAACCCCTAGGCAAAGAGCCCCTGTGGGTATCCCACTCAGAACCCGCTCCCGGCTAGTGGGAGCTTCACTTCCTTGACTTTATAGCTTTTAAATCTTTTATATCTTTAAATCTCTTTATATCTTTTAAATCTCTTTATATCTCCATCCATAGTTTCATTCTTTGTCACTGAGGAACATGTGTCCAGTATTCAGGAACAAAATGAGGCTCAGAAAGGTACAATGAAATTTTTCTCTAGTAATTTATGAGAATGTAGAAATTTGTGAAAAATATCGGGTGGAGGGGCCACAATGAAGAGGACAAGGAGGAAAAGGTCACTGAGAATAGAAATTGAACGACGGTTGTATACGTGTACTAACTTCCCACCAGGGATGTCAACGTGTACCCCACACATATGCTGATGAATGAAAACAAAGTTCTGACTTCACTTAAAAAAGAAATTTAAGGAGGACAAAGGACAGGCTATACTTTCCAGCCCAAGTGTGAGAATACAACTTCTCATTTGTGAGGCAGGAGAACCCTTTCACTCTGTTTGAGGGCTCCAGGGCGTGCCTTGTGTGGTCTGAAGCAGTATCTGCTGAACTCGTCACATCCCGTCCTGTGCTTTGTAATATATGTAAGTAAAGACAATGTGCTGTGACATCTCCTAGCAGGCAGAACAAAACCAGCTCTAAGATTCCTCCCACCTTGGCCTGCGGGGGTAGCTCAGTGGTAGAGCACTGGCCTAACACACTTCAGGCCCTCGATTCATCCCTACTTATAAAAAAAGAAAGAAAAAACAGGCACTTTGTGTTGAGGTGGCTTTCTATACCTAATTTCTTAGTTTCTATCATAAAGAATCGTGAATTTTATCAAATACTTTTTCTGCAGCTACAGAGACGATCAGATGGTTTTTGTTCTTCTGTTAGTACGATGTTTATTGATTTATGTGAATTAAACAAACTTACACCGCTGAGGTAAATCCTACTTGATTATCATGTATCTTTTAACAGATTAGGTTTGCTAGTGTTTTACTAAGAATTTCTGCATCTGTGTTCTCAGATATATTGGTCTGAAATTTTGTTCTTGTGTCCTTATTCTGTTTAGTTATTAGGGTAATGCTGGTCTCAGAGAATGAACTTGGATGAA